AGTTTTCTTAGAAGGATTGTGGTCTATGTTAGGATTTTGAAGCTTGATTCCTTGGCCATGCAAAGGAACATATTTTCAAAGGAAGAACTACTCTTCTCCTTTTTAAAAGCACAATAGAGAGCTATTTGGAATTTATTTTTGATGTCTTTGTAGGTATTCATCAATCTTAGGAATACTGAATCAAAGTAAAGTTCTGTGGGGCTTTGTTGTTTATGGGGAAAATAATCACTGGATAGGGGCTGGCCCCGTGGCCGAGTGGTTAAGTTCACGCGCTCCGCTGCAGGCGGCCCCGTGTTTCGTTGGTTCGAATCCTGGGCTCGGACATGGCACTGCTCATCAAAACCACACTGAGGCAGCGTCCCACATGCCACAACTAGAAGGACTCACAACGAAGAATATGCAACTGTGTACTGGGGGGCTTTGGGGAGAAAAAGGAAAAAAATAAAATCTTAAAAAAAAATAATCACTGGATAAATAAATGGTTTACATTATTTGCTTTTGCCTCTTCAGGGTATAATATATTCCTCAGGATTTAGAGGACAGAGAACTTTGCTCTGCCTTCTCACTTGTCCTCTACTTATCCCCAACCTCCAAAATGGATTTACATCAGACCAAAAGGTTGAGTAGTTTTGTTTTGCAAATAGAATTTCAGGCCCTGGAGAAACTCTCAATTGATAGGTCAAAACTGTAGATGGCATGGTTGGTAAAAGGTGGAGTGAGGACCAGGTGGAATATTTGTTTAATAATGTATCTGAAATGAAGATGGACTAGAGATAGGAAATGGCCTGTCATTTCGTGAGGAGATGAATAATTTATCTGTGTTAACGGGTAGAGACAAGTTAAGATGAATGAATTTCCGTTTTAGCCGTTGTCTTTTTTTATGAAACACAGATGAAGAAGCGCAAATTGACCAGTTTCACTCCATGGTATTTCTGATGTGGTGTGAGGTTGGCAAATAATAGCAAGAGAAAGATGTACTTCTCCAAGAGCTAGTTAATTTTAACTTATTCTGGAGTACAATTGACTTATAGTTATTCAGGATTAGAAATGGCTTTCCTTGAGTATGTTGAAAAAAATAACTTGTAAAACGACCTGCTTGATTGAGTGAAGCTTCAATAATATTTTAAGGTCATTTTTATTATACCATAGCTCAGAATATCTTTATTTAAAGGTAAGAAAATGGAGACATGGGTGACAGTGGCTTACCCAAATTTTCAATTAATGAAATGGAAGAAGAATGTAGATTCTAATAATTCTCAGTTTTAGAGGTTTTAGACTATATTCGTTAGTATTAATATTAACTAGTTAATATTAACTTAGTATTAAGTACTTAGTATGAAGTCCTGGCAGTGTACGTGGCAGAGTGGGTGCTATGACATGACTGAATAAACTCTGAAAGAACGTTAAGAAATAACTTTTGTTTTCTCTGTGTCCCATATAGTAGCTAGCAGAGTGCTGTTAATAAGTTGCTTGATAGTTATTGCATGGATATATTGACTTACAATCAAATAATTATTTATCATGTTTTAAGGGAGTTTTCGGGAGATATTTGTGATTGATTTAAATATATAAAATATATTAGCATAATATATGCATTTATCAGTTGAGATTGTATGGAGGAGAGGGGAACTGCATTTAGTTTCATTTTATAGGCAACTAATATGGGCCCTTGGTGGTTTATTTTTAAATGAAATTGAGCCTTTAGCATTTTGAGCTAACATGTCAAATGCCTTGGAGACAGGAATGGGAATTTCATATAAGTAGCTTACATCTGACCTGTATGTTGGAGAATGTGATTGTATACTTGCTTTTTTTGACCAAGGCACTATTTTTGTACTTCTGTTTGCTTTCTGCAGGTTTACTTTTGTTAACAGTGATCTACTAGAAATGTAATAAGGTTTTAAAATATCAATAGTTTTTATTTTTCATGACCTTCCAAAGCTTCCATATTGGTGGCAGCATGTAGTTCTGGGTGCCATCTACCAGCAAAAAACAGCCCTTGGGTTTGGATGAGTGATGACATTCGGCCCTCACTTAGGTCTTCTGACACCCGAGGTCAGGAAACCTAGAACAACCCTAAAACTGACCTAGTCTGAAGCAGGCCATATTACTAACTAAAAGTGAATTTGTCACTGAGTATTGGAAGGGAATAGAACGGGTTGTGGGGTGGAGTGGGCAGGGCAATGGCTTGTGGAGGAGGTGTGCATGTGGGAGGGTCATTTTTAACTTTTATCAATTTCAATCCCTGTCAGTTTCAGCAAAGATGTGATAAAAAAAAACTTTGTTACTACTATATATTTCTTACCATATTCACAGTTTAAAAAGGTGTATAATTTTCTTGCCATATTCTCTATTTACATCTTTTAAAAGAAAAGTCTATATTTTAAAAACTGTTATATGATTCCTATGGATTTCCTATGTTTTTTTTTTCTTTCCTTGAATTATTAAAATATGCTAGATAAGACTAACTTGTTTTTCTTTTTCATTTCCATACAGGAAGGAGAAAAATATTGTTCATGTAATCAGTGTTACCATTTTTAATTAGTGTTTTGATTGAGGATTATTGTGAAAAGTTTTACTGTTTGCTAGATTCCTAATTTAAAATGCCTGTAATCTTTTATAGGAATTTCAGCTTTTGCAATTTGGTAATAACAGATCTAGGTAAGTAAAAAATGAGAATCTCATACAGTTTTGAAGATCTAAGATTGGCTGAGAATTTAATATTTTAGAACCAGTAAGCCTATCAATTTAGTTAAAGTTAAAGACAATAATGTAACTGCCATACTTGTTGAGAACTGAGTGAACCTGTAAATCAAAACTTCTGATTTTTTTTGGTAGTTGCTGCTGGAGTCAGAAGTTAGGAATAAATCTAATGGCTTTTGTAAAATCCTGTCTGTCATTTCACAGAGGAATGACCTTCAGGAGCAAGGGCTATCCTGAAGTTTCTCTCCAACAAGGTGTTTAGCACAATGTTGCAGTCTGTGGGAGATAGAAAAGGAAATTTAACTGAATTATGTATTAATTATTATAATCTTAAGATACTGTGAGCAACTCCCAGATTGATAATCTATATATAAGCTTTCAGCAACAGCCTTATCACTTCCTTTAACTTTTTTGTGGAATTTATGATTGCCTAAATAATACTCTCAGAATTAGTGGGTAAAAATTCTATCGTGAGCTCTCTTTATCCTTACATACAGTGCTAGGGTATTGTAGACGTTGGGTAATAAAAGGCTTGTCATTTCTTTTTTTGACCCATTGAGAGGAAGAAATGTATTTTACATCACATAAATTTTATATTAACATAGGTGTGTGTATGAAATAAAAGTTTCACAATAAAGTGATGCACACTGTTTTCTAATCTGCTCTGTTGTAGTCTGTCCTTTTTCATAAATAAAAAAGACCATGAACCAACAAATTGATGTCAAGACAAATACACACATCTATAGCTTTTTCCTTTCGAGTAATAGTCCTCACAGACCCCACCTTGTCTTCTCATATATTGAACTCAAACATTTCAAGATGTATACAAAAACATAGAGAACGTAAAATCTCTAAACATGCTGCAGTTTTGTTACTTGCCTTTATCATTTGAATAAGATAGTCTATGCCCTGGTATTTGTTACCTCCCTATACTTTTGGCCTAATAGGTTTGAAAAGTTCCAAGGTATCACTGGGACAGCCAGTGAAGAAGGATCAAGATTGAAAAAATGCATCAGCAAACTGTATTTCAGCTCTGTTTTCTGTATCTCACTGACCTGGGCACTGGCCACAGAGGAGCTCTGACAGGTACATCTGGTGTTTGATCTCCTTTTACCAGTCCCTATATAACAATTCTGGGCTTGACTTTAAAATTCTAGCCTGCTTTCCAAGTATGAAGTACAGGCTTAGTTAGACCACATGGGAAGAACTGTGTTCACAAATGTAGATAAGGAGTTAGTTGTATGTTTGTATACATTTTTCCTTTAGAATAGGTGCACGTAAAATGAACCTCAGATGGCGGTGCAGTTTTTCCCTTCCAGTAATAATTTTTCTTTTTAAGTTTCTCTACTTTTCTTTTGATATTTGCCTTTTCTAAGTGTTAAGTTTATAAAGGTGTAAACCTAATGTCATTATAAAATTTCATTTTTAAAAAATGATAGTGGGGCAAATCATATCCTTTTTCTGCCTCACTTCAGGACTGAAGGAAACAAAAGTAAGTTTTAGGCTGCGTTCCCTTTTGTGGATGATTGGAAATGGTGTTGAAATTTGTACATTAAAATATATTGAGAACCTATAGTGTATAAAATACTAAAGTTTAAGTCTGTTTCCTAGAAATATTTCTGTGAGTCATCAATCTTTTGATAGCCTTAGATTAAATGCTCAGCAAGCACAAAATGTCCAGTTAGGTAAAAAGTGAATGTAAAATAGCACTTCAGTCTTAAAGCTAACTTACATCATCAGAACTCCCCAAATTTACTGTACTTGTATTTAATGTTCACCAGTGGCCCCACATATTCAACCCACAGAGATTCTGGCCTTTAAGCCAAGTATCCTCCCACCTTTGATAGAGACAGAATATGAAGGGCCTCCATCCCTCTTTGAAAATAAGAGATGTTCGGAAACTCTGGGCAGCTTTATGGTACATCTGAAGAGCTTGTAGCTTTCAAACTCTATAATGACTCCTGTTTAGATAAAAGATACTAGTGGTTTTTTGTTTTTGTTTTTAAAGCATCTCTGAGAATCTGGTAAACTCTGAATTGTCTCCCCAGACAAGTAGACATACAATCCCTACTCTGAAACTCCCAAGACAATATAAGAATCTGCTTAGTACACATCTGTTGAATTAACCCTTACATTCTCCTGGATTGGTGATGGAGTATGAGACTTCGTACAGGAACAGTAAAGATATCGTCAGTTTCTTTTAACCTGATATTGTTACTACATGCTACCTTTAATCATGGATCAGCGTTTTCTTTCATTGCTATTGCAGTTTGCTCAGAATGTGGCTAAGCTGTTACCTGCTATAGGTGGTCCAGCAAGAATAGCCATCCCAGCAAAGAAACTGGCAAGTCCCAAAAACCTGTGTACAGTGGAATTCCCAGACAGATCAACCTGTAGGAATTAGAATCCAATGTGAGCCATATTAAGGGTGAAATTCTGTAGAGTCCTCTGCCTACAAAGGGACAAATACTATTCATATCATCTCAAACTGTGAACAGCTGACTTCTGAGGTGATTTGGATGGCCTTTTGCGCTCAAATTATGAAAGAGCTGAGGCAAATAGGAAACAGTAGTTTCACTGGGTGGGGAATATTTTCATTTTATTAGTAAGGAACATTGGTTTTTGTTTTGTTTTGATCTTTTAGATGATTCAGGGGTACTATTTTTTCCCTGAACCTCACTGCTCTTCTCTATTAGGCAATGGTATTTACAGTCTGACCTGACAGTGGTATTCTTGAATCCACCTATGGCTGAGGACGCAGCCTAACCTAGGAAACTGAGAAGCAGAGTGGAATCCTGCTGATCCCTTTCTTGCTTTCATTTCTTTCCTGTCCCATGTAGATAGTCCTCTCATCATCCCTCCCCCCAAGGTAAGACATCACAAAGAGCTGATTTCAACTTTAGAAAATTTGGTTTTTCCCTAAGCCTCATATAATAACCTGTAGCACTTATGCTAATATTGATATCAGACCAGAAGTTTCCCAGGGATTCTGTTCTAGTACATTGGGGACCTAGTTCTAAGAAGAACCCATGGGGTTACAAGAAGAATCCAGAAGTATCTAAAGTATTTCAGTTCCATTTGAGTCCAGGACTTTAAGCCAATTTGGGGTAAAAAGGGAGAGTTAAAAAAACAATGTCCTTATTAAAGTACGTGGAACTTCTTAAGAGAGAAGCCACACTGGTCAGGAAGCCCCTTTTTCTCTCAGGGAGCTCTTCAAGATGGTGTTGTAGAAGGAGCCAAAGAAATTTCTGGAGCTGAAGGAAAGAAGTGAACACAGCCTAACCTAGGAAACTGAGAAGCAGAGTGGAATCCTGCTGATCCCTTTCTTGCTTTCATTTCTTTCCTGTCCCATGTGGATAGTCCTCTCATCATCCCTCCCCCCAAGGTAAGATGAATAACTGGACAGGATATAGCTACAGGGTTTCTGAGGCCTTGGGTATGATTTTTTTAAATTATAAAATTAATACAAAATATGTCTTCTTTTGGGGGAGATGATTATTAATACTTGCTTTTACTCAATTGTTTCACAATGTTAATGAGTGTGTCTACTCACCAGTACAGGAAGTATCAATGCCAGGTAACCACCAGAGAAAATGGCAAAGAAGATGGTATAGGTCATAAGTAGTGGAAATGTGGTGGCTAAAGGAGCAAGCAGGTTAGTGATGCCGCAGAGGATGAGGTAAGACTTGTGGTAATGATACTTGTTCATCCAGTTTTGATCAGCAACCCATCCAGAGATAATCTGACTGACTGTCTCAGTGATACCTGGAACAGTATTGAAAAGGTCTTATGAAATCCTAATTCCATTTTCCTAGCCCTTTTGAAAAATGTAAATGCATAAGGCATCTTTTCCTAAGTAATATGACTTCATCCAGAGGCTAGGACATAGGAGAAAAAAGTGATTTCATTTGTCTGTCAATAGATTCTATCATTTACTTATATATTCCAAACACACCTAATAAAATACCAAAAAAAGCTCCTCCATAGTTGGGTAAGAAGACCCATTAGGTGTTTTTCTGACTGTGTTTGGAAAGCTCATGGCACCAAACTGGGAATGCCTGGTTACAGAGGACCCGGGGCTCAGGAGGCTTCCTCAAAGAGGTCCTGCAGGTGAGAAAGTAAGATTTCTAAAAGACTGTAGACCTCAGGTCAGTGTCCTGGGGAGGTCATACAGTGGAAGATTGGAGTGTAAATAATAAAGTTTTATGTTGAAAAAAAAATAGCTATTGGGACTCTTTCTTGTAATTGCATATGAGATTTTGGTAATTAAGTCCTTGAAAGGTTATTATGCTTAACTTGAAAATGTGTAGGAAGTCTGGTAATGAGCAGTCATATTTTGAACATTGGAGCTATGGTGTAACCTAAATAAGATTTAAGAACCACATTTTTCACTCAGTTTTATGACAACAGAACATTTGTATCCTTTATCCTATTATAAGCTAATGTAGCAGTTAAATACTGAAAGAAAGATTTTTACCAAGAGAAGCATGAGCTGCAGTTGCTTTGTACTTCAAATCCTTCCTATAGTTCAAACATAAATTGCTCCACAAACAAAAAGGGGAATGAAAAAGGCATACCACCATTTCTATATCTATTTTTACAGTTACTTCCCGGGCTACATCTTGAGGCTTTATGCTACGTTCTTTGGTCCACTCGTATAGCCCTAATCTCATCTAAATTGATATTACCGGACATTTTAGTGAAAACAGTTAGTTTAGCTCTGTAGCTTTTTCTTGTATACACAAGCTTTATTTGACTGAAGCAGAATATCTTTGCAATTGGAAATAGGGTACAGTCAGTTTTGTAAGCACTTGGTAAATAGTCTTTTCAAGAAATTAGCAAGAGAAAAGATTTCTAGATAATTAGAGCAAACCAGTTCCATTTCATCCCTTTTCAGTTTTTTAAGGCTCCCTATTTGGTCAGCTGAGAGAACCCATAGCTTCTGGATGAAGCATTCTGTTTCCATACATTTTTATAAATAACTAAAATGGTTCTTTTTATTTTTAACTTACATACTAATTTAAATATTTAATTTCTAGTTAAATATCAGCCAATCCATTAGTGCCTAGCCTTAACATGCATACTTACCTGTCTTACTATGCATTTAAGGGGGGAAATACTTAGCTACAAATATTAATAGAATATTATTGAATGCTTATGATAGTCCAGGCACTAATCTAAATTGTACATGCATTACTTGTTTAATCCCGATAGCCTTATAAGGGTAGGTACTATTATCTCTATTACAGATGAGGAAACTGAGGCACAGAGAAGGCAAGTAACTTGCCCAAGGTCACACAGCTAGGAAATACAGAGCAAAAACTTGAACCTAGGAAGTCTAGCTGCAGAACCAATCCTTTCAGCCACTGCACTATGCTGTCTACCTAGGATTTTTTTGTCTCCTGGAGTGGCTATTGCCACTGAGCATCAGCTTTTTAAGATTTAGTATTTTCCAACAAATACTTAATGTCTGCTGTGTCAGACAGACACTGACTTATGAAAATGAATAAGACTTGGTTTGGAAGTTCACTGTCTGGTAGGGAGATCCGGTGTGCAAGGTGCAGTGACAGATCTGTTGGGGGAAATGGCTGGTGCTCTCACCAGCCTTGAAAATCTTACTTTTCCTGGTCCTTCACAACTCCTTTTTTAAAGAATTGTCTTTCTTCAGCTTTTAAATAAAATTTGATACATTTTTGTAAAACTAAGTTCATTTTTCCTTTGAGTGTGAGGTTGAAGTAGGCTTTCTTACCAGCTACAGAAATGAGGTAGGAGGCATCCATCATGTCAATCCCCAGTGTTTTGGCTCTGGCTACCAGGTGAAAGGTAGGGATAAAATATGCCAACTGACTGAGGAGAAAAGTCCAAGTAAATATGGAAAAGAAAGGATTCTTAAAAAGAGAAATATCAAAGAATTTTTGTTTACAGCTCCATGACATAGCCTTTTTCTTGTGACTTTCTTCCTTAGTTATTAGGAACAGTCTGTTTCTCTCGGGCCCATTGTTGACCTCTTTGTTTTGACTTTGTGAAACCGTTAATGTTGTGCTGGGTTGTCCAGCCTTCTGCACAGTGCTGTCCCTCGTGGTAGACTCTTGTATCTCACGGCAGGATGCTGTTTCTGGCCCACACCCTGCCTCTGGACCACTTGCAGGCAAACTGTTCCCTTTATCTTTAATATCAGAATTGCTCTCACTTTTGATCTGGATGGGTGTTAAGAGCATACTAGAAGGCACCAAATTCAATGTGATAGCTCCAAATAATATAAGGGCACCTAAATAGGAGAGAAAAATTGAGAAGTTAAAAATTTACCACTCTCATTTCACAATACTCTGTTCTTAGGCTCAGAAGAGGCCCCACTACTAAATATTAAGTCATAGTGCAATAATTCCTGAAAACACTACTTACTGAAAGTATTTTAAATCTGCTGACTTAATTGTTAGCCATACACATCGCTGTATCCTTGTGAAATCAGGGTGTTCTTTGGAGGTAGAAGACCAGAAAGCTGCACCAATAGATGATATGGAAGGAGAGAGCGTGTTGTTTGTGGTAATGGAAGAAAGAATAAGGTTTGGGTGGCGGGGTCGGGGGGAGGCATGGAGTATATTTTAAATCTTAGAAAATTACAGTGTGTTTTTAAATAGAGATTTTAAATATCCTGAAGTGAGAGTGTAGATTTAGCTACAGAAAATACAGAATTAGATGATGGGATCATTTGGGAACTGACTTAGAAGAGGGGACAGCCTTTCATCTCTTTACATTTTTAATTTCCTTGAAAGAAGACATGCCAGTCTTGCCTTTGCAGGTGAGTAGTTGCTTGATTCAGCATGGCCTTACCAAAGCTGTGATGTGTGTATGTTGCTTCTAGAGAGAGAACTGGCTGGAGGTTCTTCTATCCTGTCTTAAGGATTTGTCAACTGGTCCTGTTCTCCATGAGACTACTGGTAGTTTTTTACTTAGGAAAGTAGAGATTCAACAAAATTGCTCTGTAGGTAGAAATAGGCTTATATATATTTGTATATATGTACATATACATATATTTTCCCAGTAATTTAAGATTATTTTAATCCAAATATTTTATCTCAGGTACAAAGAAAATTGTGGAGTGAATGGTTTTTATTCATTTGTGAAAATTTATAGTTGACAGTATATAAAAGGTTAAGTATTGAGGAGCATAACGCATAATCCTCTTTTTACCCATGCTTTTGTTTATTTTAGTGAGTTGGATTGAGGAGGCATTTTTATTTTATTTATTTTTGCTTGAGGAAGATTAGCTCTGAGCTGACATCTTGCCAGTCTTCCTCTCTTTTCTATGTGGGATGCCTCCACAGCATGGCTGATGAGTGGAGTAGGTCTGTGCTCTGGATCTGAACCTGCAGGGCCTCGGAGGTAGAAGAGCACTCTGAACCTTAACCACTTGGTGCCACAGCCTGGTCCGAGGAGGGATTTTTTTTTTTTTAATGCAGATTTTTTTCTTAAAGGGACAGTGTGAAAAGAGAATGCTTTGGTTGTGGAAGGGGAGGAGGGGAGAATCCTCATTCCCTCAAGAGTGACACCTTGCTTTCCCTGCAAGGTGTCACCCCAGCCGCAGCGTGCCCTCCATCCCCTCAGACAGGAACCCTGTGGTGAGCTCTGAGTTGTCTGTGTGGGCTGGCAAAACCTGCCAGTAGTTCACCATCTCTTCTGCTATGTATTCTCCAAGGAAGAAGAGCATGTTTCCTGTAGAAATCATGCTCATTTCCTCTAGCTCAAAAAGTCTTCACTTCTAGTCATCAGACGGAGAAAGATGAAAATTCAATCTTGCAGAGTTGACGGTTCATAAACTTAGAATAACTCACCTGTCCAGTCATACAGATCCATCAGGACTTTCGTAAAAGGTGCTAACAGAAACGTCAGTCCCATCCCAGAACGGGCAATAGCTGTAGAAAGAGCTAATCGTCTTTTGAAGTATTTGGTAGTTACCACTGCAGCTACTTGGTATAGGAAAGCGGAACCCAAACCTAAAAAGAAAAACAAATACCTTGGAATCACTCACCTGAAGTGGCTTGGTACCAGGTAGATATTCTCCTGGACCTGAGATGATATAACAGGCCTTTTGGAACCATGACCAGTAAAAAGGAAGGTTGCTAGTTCCGTCTTTTATAGTCTTATTTTTACAATGGACTCACCAGGTAAAAGTCCCATAGTCACACAAAGAAAGGGAATGCTTGTAGCCTGGCTGCTGAGCAGATATCCACCAAAAACAAGGAAAGCCCCAAGATGGGAGGCACTTTTCTCTCCAATTATGTCAGACATAATGGCAACCAGGGGACCTTGGGAAAGGAAAGAAAAGCAAATACTAGGTAAATGTGCTCTGGCACCTCATCTTCTGAAGTGCAATTTATACGAGCAGCTGAAGGAAAACAAGATGACTCTACTTTGGAGTATTGTGTATCCTTCAAAAAGATCTCTGTTGGGTTTCTTAATATTCTCAGTCCCACACTATCAGTTTTTGGAAAAAGAGTTGGTTTTTTCTTTTTTTTCTTTTTTAAGAAAAGAGTATTGTAAATAAGTAGGCTTGGAGGGGAAGCTTATTGAAAATGCATTCTAAAACCTCCACAAAATGAGATTGCATCTAGTGACCTATGACTAGAACAAGGTTTGACCATTAATCTACTCCTCCACCATGTGATAGCTCCAAAGGGAACTAAAGGAAGTTTTGAGTGTACTTTTAGATAATCAGATCAAAACGTCATGGTATGACTTTCCAGTTGAGAGGCACTGTGGAAAGAAACAAGGCATGAAAAATTGAATCATGGAATTAAATATTTGGATTCCTCAACTCTGAACCCTAATTTTTCCAGTTTTGCCAAGTGGAGGCTAAACACTACAAGTCCTCACTTTTCTCAGCTTTACATATTAATAAATGAACCTGAGTTTTAGCAACGCTTCAGTCTTGAATGACTGAAAGATGAGTCTTCTTGGAATTGCCCTTTGTGGTCTTTGGACAGCGAACTTATTGCTGGGTTTATACCTCCAAAAAAACGAAGTGATGACATGATGGATCCAATCCAGCCAATTTGCTCTGAGGTGCCTTCAAATTCTTCTTGAAAAACCACAAAGAAAATTGCAAAAGTCTTGGTCATCCCCATCACAAACACATTTACCTAAATCAAAGCAGACCAGAGAGTCCAAGTCAGGTGGCGAGTGAGCCATACAGAGGAGGGTACAGCTGCTCAAGGTTATGATTCCCCTGGCTCACCAGTATTTACCAGTTCATTTGGTGGCTCTTTGTTATATATTATGGGGCGATCATCCCGTTAGAGCATCTAAGCAGCTCATTTAATCCTCATTACAAGGTTATGGATCACTATTGTATTAGAGATCAGGAAATTGAGGTTTAGATTAAAAGTTGCTCAAGATGGGGGTGCTGCAGCTGAGATTTGAATCCAGACAGATTCCAGACCAACCAGTACTCTACTGTCCTGTTAGAATAGCTTCTGTTAAAGACAGCTAATTCCAGTTACCTTTGTGAGAGGCTCATTGGTCTAAAAGATGAAGAAGTCTTCATATCACTTCCTAGGTTAGCTTTGCTTTAACTGCTCTTGAGCTGAGTATCCTCCCTCACTTGGTATACAAATAGGGTGACCATGTAGTTTATCATCTAAACTGAAACATTTGAGAGTGAAAGGGAATGCTAGTAATTTATAGCAGGACAGCAAGGGTAAGCCAGGATGCGTGGTCACCTTGCAGTTGGGTCAGTGTGCCCCATCCGTTTCTTTTGTCCCCCCTAACTCCTTGTCCACACTATCCTCCTCCCTTCCACTAGGAGAACTACTTTTGAGGTCAGGTTTCCCTTCTATAGAGTGTTAACATTTGTTTCTTGGAATCCTGATTGGCTTGGGGGCAGTGAAGAGCCATTCCTCCTCCTCTCCCTTTTTGCTTACCAGCCAAACTATCGTGTGCAGGGGTCAGGAGCGGGAGCTCGAAGGGGAACCAGCCAGAGTCTGCAGTCCCTCTCAAAGCCCAAGAGCTGTGTGTGCTGTCTTCAGGGCCTTCCTAGCTTTTCCTTTCCTTTTTTCAGCGCCCTTGGTTTTTCACGGCCGCTTTCTCTACTTTCAATCTGGCCACCATGCATTGCTTCTCATGAACCACAGAACCCTGGGTTCCCTTTCACTGACTCCACTTTCTCTCTCTACCTGGTAAATAGTTTCCCCCTCTGGTTCTGCACTCATTTCACTTTATACCTGCTCCATAGACAACATTCACTCTCTAGATTTTAATTACCACTCTTGTACTCATGGTGTAGTAGTTTGCAGACTGTTCTGCAGTCACCCTGCCTTGGCCTGAATCCTGGCTTCGCTTCTTACTACGGGTGTACCTTGGGCAAACTACTTTGCAGAAGTGAAGTTTCCTCTTTTGTAAAGTGGAGATGAAGTAAATGTTATCTATCTCATAGGACTGTGAAGATTGAGAAAACTGGTAAAGTACTTAATACTTAGCACTTAATACTCAAACTATTAACTATAATTTTGTTAACTTGTGTAACCATTCTGCTTTCCTAAGAAATTCAGACTCATTTATATAACTGTACCATATCTTTCTAACTCAGCTCAACTATCCAAAACTAAACTCATCTTTCCCTTATCCCACATCTACTCTTCATTTCTCTTTTGATTGGTACCATCCACCCACTCACCCAGGTCAGAGACCTGCCTCCTCTTAGGTGCCTCCTTTCTTCAGCCCCTACCTACTAAAGAATCAAGACCTTCCCCCCCCATCCCCGTAGACAGGCACTTATTTTGAGACTAGTATTTTTTGTCTGGAGTAAGGGATTAAGAATCAGTAGTGATGCTCTGAGGTTGCAAAAGTTGGAGGTGGTGAGGAGGAACACTATAATGAGGCATCAGTCTAAAAAAACCCTTCCGTTTTTTCTGTGGGCATGAGTTCCTTGCTTGCTGACCTCTACGTTCTTAGCTACCTGAATTTGGCTAGCTACTGGTCCCCCCAATTCAGAAACTTTTTTCTTGGGTCTGTCCTTGATGTCTGGGCATAGCAGCAGTGAATGGATGTGACTTGTCTCTAGTCACTGGGTCTGTGTCTTCCGCTGTGTATATCAAGAAGGCCAGGGACACAGCCTTTGCATCTATGCTGCCTCCCTCCCTTAACTTCCAACTTTGTTTCTGCTTTGACTCATATTAAAATTCTTTTTTGCAAGGTCTGGATTTTCTTTTAGTTAACTCAGCAGAACAGATAAATCTATATTATACTACTACATCTCATGCTTTGGACCAAGGTTGGTGGGTTTCAGTCCTGTCCCAGAGTCCACATAGACATTATAAATGGGCTCACCCCAAAATAAAAGCCCCTAGAAATTCTCCAGCCCCCTCATTTCCTTTTTATATTTAAGAGTATGCCTCTCCTCCCTCCTCCCTCATCCCACAAGAGCTCCCTCACCAGATCATTTTAATTAGAATATTGTCTAAGGAAAGGGGGCTGGATCAGCCTCAGTGGCCCCTTTTGAATACCGAACATCAGGCTTTGTCAGAAATTATTGTTTAATAATAAACAACTTTCTTCTACCCTAGGGCTCTGTCTAGTATCACCCTAGTTCTTCCTGACATTGACAGACAGACTTCTTTAAAGAATAGTCTATTAGGTTATCTCCACTCTCTCATCCCACCACTCCACCGTACCAGCTCTTATCAAGGTTATCAGAGACTTCCTTGTTGCTAAACTAATAGCCCATTGTCATTTCTCTCATATCTGACCTCAGCAGTACCTGCTCATCACTTTCTCCTGGGCATTTCTGCCTTAGCTTCTGTGACACTACATTTCTGGATTGTCACTTTTCTGACTGCTTCTCAGTTTCCTCTATGGGCCTGCTCTCCCCTAGTCCCCTAGACATAGATTTTCCCCAGGGTCTGTCCTAGGCGCTCTTCTTTCCCTGGTGATTTTACCCACCTTGCCCTAGAGTTCAGACCACTGTGTATGCTGATGACTCACACGTTTCAATATGCAGATCCTGTGCTCCAGATGCACACAGACTGTGCTGGACGCATGATTGGTTATGTCACAAGCCCCTCAGACTCAGTGTCCAAAATTAAACCATCCAAGTCATCTTAAGATTTTCTCCCCTTCTTCCTATGTCTTCCAGCTCAGTGACTGGCATTCATCATCCTCCAAGTGATCCAAACCAACAACCCAGGACTCCTTGACTCCCCCTCTCCCTGACATCCAGTCACTCTCCAAGTCTTACAGGTCTGTCTCCTCGCTATCACTCAGATCTGTATTTTCTCTCCATCTCCATCATTACTGCCTTAATTTAGGGCCTTACTGTTTTCTCACTGGGATAATTGCAACATCCCTCCAATGGATCACTCTGCTTCCAGGCCTATCCCCTACCAATCCATTATTCACCCTGCAACCAAAGCTGTTTTCCTGAAATAGAAATCTGATCCCTTTGCTCCCTGCTTGCTTTTTTTCATTAGCTCCTCATAGCCTCAATATAAAAACCAGTGTTCTTGACATGTCATACAAGATCCCTCCCTGCTCCTCTCTCCAATTTCATCATTTACTACCTTCCTTATTTATTTATACATAAGTATATCCGGTCAGTTCATCCATCCATCCTTCCATCCATCAACAGGAATTTATTGAGTGCCTACAGTGCGTCAGGCTGTGTGCTGGGGCCTGGGCTCAGCACTGAGCACACAGTGGTGAGAAACAGACATGGTCCCTGCCCTCAGGGAGCAGTCAGTCCAGTGAGACACTGAATACAGAAAACAGTCATACAAATATATAGTTATAAAGTATGGTAAGTTCATTATAATGAGGCCTTTTTTTGAAAGTAAGGAGCTCCTGAAGAACATTTAGTTATTGGATTTTTCAGTCCCCTTTTCAGAAGTTCATTTATTGTAGAAAAGTGTACTTGTAACTATGCAGACACAAAAGCATACGTAGTCTTCTATGTATCCATATAACCACTGTGAGAGATTAGCCCCTGAATTAATAGTTAACACTTTGAGGACCATGATATTTTTTATGCTCTTACAAGCAGCATCACACCCAAAAAAGTGGGACATTGTTTATTAATCTGGTTATTAGGCAGTTTGTCTTACCAGCAAATAAATTGGTCAAGTAACTTCCTATCCTCAGAGGATAATATAGGAAAATTAGGGTGGTTATTAGGGAAAAGGTGGGAGAACACAAGATCCTCACCAGCAATGCCAGTTCTGCAAAGCCTACGATTTGAGGAGGCAGCCCAGCCACAGGAAGTGTTCTCAGACTTAGAGCATTCTTAGTTTCCTTATTAGTAACATTTCTGGGAGAAAATAAAAAAAGGTTCCACATTCTTTGGTAATGAAGCTAATGTTTAACAAACAGTCCTCTGGTTAGGAGTTCTGCCTTACATAAATCCTAGCTGAGGATCTCTGCCCCTACTTTCCCCTTCTCTGTCACTGGGGAGGAGGCATGATGTTTTCCCATCGTCTGTTTATAGAGTTCTTAGTTATCCACGTGGTGGACTACAGGATTACTAGTAGTCCCCAGGACCTGCACTCCCCTCCCCTTGAGCTTCCTACTGTAGGACTGGGCAGGGGAGGAGGATCAGGCAGAAAGGGTGTCTGTGAGTACACCTCAATGTTAACAGAACTTACATGGGAACTCTTAAGAGGAATTGTGGAGCTGGTGCCACTCTGTGCAGGGTTGTTGCAGCATAGCTGTGATGGGATTCACTAGTATCCTAGAATGGCCATGCTGGTGACTCAAATCACCACTATCTTACATACGAACCTCAAGAGCTTCTGGGAGGATGAGGGAAAGAAATTAAAAACCAGAGTGCCTAGTCCAGTTGCTTAGGGATGAAAGAGAAAAATCAGGCTCCAGTTTCAGAATCCACATCCTTCTCTCCTTTTCCAGACATATCAGAAATATGCATTGGGCCTAATTCTTGCATAAGTTATGGTTGGTAGGGATGGGTTGGGAAGTGGACAGCAGGCAGAATAAAGGAAATGGCCCCGTCTTCTACGAGAGAATGAGGTTGCTGGCAGCAGTGCTCTGTATATGCTGGGCTGAGCTGGGGAACCCACCCCTAAAGCACTTTTTAGCACTTCCCAGTGCCACTTCTGGGATGGTTAAAGGTATGATTGCCTCCAAATCCTAATTGTCATGCAGCCAGGGCAGAGCTGCCAATAGTGACTGGATCACTCGGCAGGCTTAAGGGATGGTAGGGAGGAGAAGGAGGAAAATGGATGGGAATGCTCCTGCTGTCACTCAGGGGGACGTTTTCAACTTTCTCCTGGGTTCAGTGCAGGCTGCTGGCTTTAGCAGCTATGGGCAGTTCCTGGCCTTGCTCAGATGCTAAGGATTTCATAAGTGATCTTGTTAGGCTGCTCTGAGCCTTTCTCCAGAGAGCCCTTTTTCAGGCAGTAGGAAAGAGAAAAGTAAATTCTTACCAGGAAGAAATGAAATACAACCATCCATCCCCAACCTCCATCTGGGGTTTTAGTGTAAAGTCGGACCTTCTCTTCCCTCTTCAGCATGATACGTCGCCTGCTTTAAATGCGGAAGATCCCTATGACAAATCCAAGATAGAGTTGGTTCAGTTGACAAGAAACTGATCTAAACTTTTAAACTTTTTTCTCTGTAGTGTAAAGCCACTTGTACTGTATTTTTTGGGGTTGTTTTTAGCCCACTCTATTAAAAATAGATGATTTCTTCTTGTTTGTAAGTTGTTTATAGACTCTCTGATCTCAACCTCAAAAAGGCAAGCAGAGCTTTGTACCATCTTTGGGATTTTTTTGGAGGCCTGCTGCCTGGCCTCACCTGGCAAGTCACATGGCTTTGCCAGTTCTCTTGGAGTGTGCCCTTCGTTACAAGGGCTGCCTCACCATAATGTCCCCCTTAGCTCTGTGTACTCCATAATCATGGTCTAAGCAGAACCATGGGATAGATGAGGAAAAGCTAATGAAAGGCTGTGATTTGAGGAACATCAAAGCTACCGAAGAAATCTCTCTTCCACCAGTTTGAATGGCATCTAAAAGGTGACCACTCAGTTTATTTAAGGCAGGAATTACAAAGGACTTAGCTGCAAAGCCTGACCTCACTGATTGTGGGGTGGCTGCTCCAAGCGCCGTCCTCTGTGTCCTCCTCCCAGGCCTGTAAGCCAAATGGTAGGGGAAGCTGTGCCTCCCTCTGGTCCTCTGGGTGAGCTCTTGACTTCAGAAAAATAAAAAAGGGAGCAGGAGCCAGGGAGCCATGGGTTTAGGAATTCCCTTTACAAAGCACTTGCTAAAATGAAAATATTCTAAGGGACTAGACAGACATGAAAACAAAATGCAATGACTGTTCCAGGACCAGAAATAAAGTTGTAAAGGACATTTTGGGAGGTCAGTTGCAGAAATTTGAATATAGACTGTATAGTAGACAAGGTTAAATCTCTTGGATGTGATGGTAGTCTTGTGGTTCTGTAGGAGAACGTTCTTGTTCTTAGGACATATATACTAAAAAGTATCCAGGAGTTACAGTCTGCTGCCTTCTCACAAATGGCTCAGTAAAAAAAAAAAAAAAAAAAAAAAATATATATATATATATATATATATATATATGAAGAGAAATAGCAAAAAGCAAATGTGAATGTTCTGAGAAAGGGGTACAGCATTCTTTATTTCCCACTGTCAGGTTGGGAGGCAGGCTGTATTTTACTGGAAAGGAGAAATTGCTGGCAGGGCCTGTGGAATGGCCGTCTGGTGAGCATGCCATGGGGGGAGAGATGCCGGTCATTCAAAACGTTATAGAAAATCAACCCCAACACACAATCCCGTTTTCATCTTACCTTTGATGTGGTGTTCAGCAAAGGAATCCTACACAGATGAGGGAATCTGGAAAGAAAAATAAATCGTACAATTTTCTAGAATGTTACTCTTTTTCCAAGGTGTTTCCTTCTGCTGTACTGTGAAAACAAGCAAGCATTGTAAGAGCTGGGAAGGTTAGAGCCAATTTAGGCATTCCTGCCAGTGGACTTTACTTCCTGAGGGGAGGAGGCAAGACTGTGATTTGACATCATCCTAGGCCCTCTCCACCCACACTAACTCAGAAGGTAGAATTTTTCACCACAGGCTCAAAAGCAAGTGGAGTAAACCAAGTAGAAAATCCTCTTGGTAACTATTGTTAAATTAATTAACAAGGAGGCCATTAGACTGAGGTGGCTCTAATGCCATGGTGGCCTATGTAAGCAAACCAAAATCTAAGCCTATAAAGCTCACAAGGTTATGAAATCCAAAACCCAAAGACAACCAATCACAAACTTAGGCTCTAAGATACAGCCAATTAATAATTTCCTAGCTTTGCCTCTGCCTTTTCTCTATATGAGTCTCTCCCTGAGTGCCTGTTGATGGAGGGCACCTAACCACTTCCGGTTTGCCACTGCCCAATTTGAATCGATGTTTGCTCAGAGAAACTCTTAAAATTTTTAATATGCCTCAGTTTACGTGTTAATAGTTCTGGTGTCAGAAGAGGGAACAAAGGAGGGAGACCCCTGACGACTCCCAGGAAGAATGAGCAACCAGATGTAGGTACCCGCTGAGTTCATTGAGCTTGCTGCTTTCTCGCTGCCTCTGAAGGTCTTGGGTAATCCTTCTTGGATCCTAGCTCCATAGGTTTTGCATTATGAACTTTCAGACTTTATTCGAGCATTTCTTTTTCCAGACTGGATCCAGAAACCAGTTGGAATCAGACTGGGTCCAACTTAAACTGGACTGGGGCCAGTGTGAGGGCTCAGGTGAATAAAATTTTGTTTTAAGGCTGAACAAGTAAGTTAACCTTACCAAAGTTAATCTTAAATTACAGTGGCCACAGTGGAGAACTTTTAACCTAGGTAAGTTTATCCATTTATGAGGTGTCCTAGAGAAAAAGGAGTCTCAGCCAAGCGCTTACTGTAAAGGATAGAGGGAAAATTATTTTTCCTCCTCTCCAGTTTCTGGTGACCAGGATGAGACCTGCTGGGACACTCCACTCACTCCAGAACCTACAGATGGGATCCTGAGAAAACTGGCAGAAGCTCACAAAGGGTGAAAATTTTTACCAAAGTCAGCTCTCCTGGGTCTCTATCTATGGTGCCTGGTTGAGAGAGGAAGGTAAAATTTCACGTTGTCTCTTCCTTTCCAAATTTGGATTGGCAGGAGAAAACCATTTGTAAGAATTAGATCTTTGAATTGGGGCTCATGAATTTGCATTTGGGTATCCACTGGTTATCCATCCTTTCTCTCCCAGTGACAGCTGTTTCTTTCTCATTTGTCTTGCTTTGTGTCCTGAGAACTTGGCTTGGCTTTCTGTCTGTTGGGGCACTCAGGTTGTCAGTTCTTTAGGTACAGGCAGATCAGCTGTCAGGTTGGGGGCTCCAAAAATGTGACTGGACAGAAATGTGGGTTGCACCTCATTTGTGGCTAGTGTCCTACCAACTGTTGCCAGCTATCAGGGGAATTGTCCAAGTCTTTCTTTCTTTTGTTATCTTTGGAAATGGCTGTGGTTCTTTTGCACCCTCTTGGGGATGCCTCTTGCATCCATGGTTAAGCCATAAAAGGCTACTGGTTTTGAGTCATTTGTTAGGGATATCTTTGGTTGAAAAGAAAAAGAAAAGAAAAGGTTGTTCAATACTGCCAGGAATATTTACTGTTTGTCCCACCTAAAACCTGTTAATAAGATATTTGAAAGGATTTATTTAGTGAGCTCTATGGTCAGAAGTTGGCCAAATTGGCAGCTGATATTCAGAGCCTCAGAGGAACTCTTTCTAAGGCCTTCTCTAAGCTGAAATGAAACTATGTACCCAGAGGGAAAGAGAAACATTCTGAAGCCACTGTGAAAGATTTACTAAATCACAAAGACACACAGTTCTAAATATAGAACATAGGAAATCTCCTTTATATAAAGAAGGGAACTGAAGATCGTGTAGTTGAGTGAGAGAGTCAGCCTCTTGATATCATTCAGGTTGAGGAATTAAAAACTGTATTTATGTTACAAATAGAATCTTGACAGAATGTAAATGCAGCTCTAGAAACAATTCAAAGCCCATCTCTTTTATTTACCAACTCCCAAACTCCCCTATTCATCTGAAAAGGCTTGCAGATATTGTAAAACATCTGGATTTAGGGAATAAGAGTCCTCCTGGGTGGATCTTACATCCTTTCTCTGTGCCTTTGAGATGTGAATGTTCTACCCAGTGTTTTCTGGAACTGGGAGCTTTTTCTTTGAAATGCAAACTTCAGGGAGGTAGTTCTTATCAGAAGAACAAAAAAAAAAGGGGGGGGGGAGGCTACTTGGAAATTAGGGAAAAATTATACTAAGTTAAGTGCTGGATATTTATTGAATATCTAGGTCACTTCCAAATAAGATAAAATAATGAAACATTAATTATTTGATACGTTTATCTACTTTTGGCTTCTTATTACAGAAAAACTAAAGACATTTGGGTCTATTGGTAAATGTGTTTTATGTCACATTGAAAAATTTACTGAAGAAAAATATACTTCTAGAAATTATAAAAGGTATTTCTAAATGTGCCAATCCACAGAACACCAGTGTAACAGTCCATAATTGCTTACTTCTTAGTTTTCACTAGAAATTAAGGATTCTAAAGGTTAAGAATTCTAATCATTATATAGAATTAATACTACTTAGAAATATAAGGGTGAAAGAAACAACTGTGTATGAAAAGTAGGTAAGGAAAGTAGAATGTGTTTTTTTGATAAGGAAAGGTGTGAAGGATATTTTTATTAAAGTCTTTTTGTCATTTACAGACAGTAGTTGTTTTATTCTGATGCTTTTGTAAAAGTGCTTCATCTTCAGAGAGTAATGGAAAGGACTCTGACAAATACCCTAGAATACAGGTTTCTGATAACTTTAAGATCATAAAACTGAACTGGGTAAGAATTTCCAGATTTAATAGAAAAACTGGATTCAAGCAGAACAAGAATTAATAACATGAGATTAAATGAACTAATGAGGATGATTATAATTTTTTTACAACTTTTCTTTGAAACATTACTTTGAAACATTGCTGGTTCCTCAATGTTTCATTTTCTAGATTTAAGGAAATCTTTTTCTGAAGCAATTTATGATTTAAAGCAATTTGGTATAGTATATCTTTGTAAACAGAATTGGAACACTTACTTTTTCTCCCTACCTGGTACCTCTGAAATTCAGAAATTTGTTGAGTATTCTTATTTTCATGACAATATAGTTATTTGCATAAACTCAATAAGAATCTACTCTTAAACAGGACACAATTGGAAATGTTGGTTATATTACCAAGGCTTTGACTAGAACGTCATATTTGAGAATATGCAAATATGCATAAAATCACATATGGCTAGACAGTTTTAAGGAAATAAGGTTGACTTTATGGAGCCAATAAAGGCCCTTGGAAAAACTGGTCTAGTACCTTGTTTATAGAGTTCCCAGCATCCTTACTAGGTGAGTAATGAAGGTTACTTCTCGGCAGGCCCAGGAACCTCAGGATATCTTGGGGACCTTGAGAAGAGAGGAATGAACCCAAATCTACAAGTATTCCTGGCAGAGTCTGATGGTGAGTCCATGACTTGCCTTCTTAGTCTGAAGAGGCTTTAAAAGTCCCATTTAAGATTCCTTAAGAAAAGTTCCACCAAGCAGATTTAACAAGAAACTGTACGGTCAATCACTATTCTTACAGCACCTATGTAAATAATTGGGCCAAGTTTAATGAGATTAGACTTATTTTGCAAACAAATTAGTCTTACTGTGATTATCTTTGAGAGAAATGAGTGTGATTGTAGAGAAAAAAAATTCTTTCAGTAGAAAACTATAACACAACTTTGTGGATATCAGATTCTAGTCTTGTTCATTGTCTCTGAGGTTTTGTTATATACCTGTAAAACAGACTGGATCCTGAATTCTTCTAGTTTTCTCAAATATCTCGCTACCCTCCAAACTAAGATTTCCAGTTTTCTCCCAGCCTTCTGATATGAAATCACTAAGAACAAAGACTGCCCTTGAACCTTTTTGGAACAGACCATACCAAGTCATCAGCCAAACTTCAGGGGCTTGAGCCTTGGGTCCACATCTCCCAATTAAAAAGGGCTCCTCCGGACTCTTGGAACTGCACACCATCTGGAGATCTAAAATTAAAATTGGCTAGGGAGGTTCCTCCCTAAAGCAGACAACATCTTGAGGGTGGACAGCTCTCCCGAGATCATGGATCAACATCTTCATTTCTAATGTGAAACCTTTATGCCTTTTGTCTTTTCAGTACTTGCCTTCTCTCTCTGTTAATGCACAGGAAGACAGTGCTCCTGAACTCTGGCAACTATCACTGAGTCTACTGCTAAGGCTATAGCCACATAACAAAAGTCTCTAGGCTTTCTGGCTGAGGCACTTTTAGATAATAGAATTGCTTTAGATCACTTGTTGGCTGAACAAGGAGTCGTCTGTGCAATAGCAAGTACCTCCTGCTGTACCTGGATCAGCACCTCTGGTATTGTAGCAAATATAAGAAATTAAACAAGCCACATGGCTAAAGCAACAAGAGACCATTAGACTGAGTTGGCTTTATGCTGTAGTGGCCTACATAAGCAAACCAAAATCTAAGCCTGTAAATGCCTCAAGGTTACGAAATTGAAACCTAAGGATAACCAATCACAAACAGCTAACTAAGCTTTAAGTTACAGCTGACCAATAATTTCCTTACTTTGCTTCCACTTTTCTCTATAAAGCTTCTCCCCAAGCTCCTGTATGTGGAGCACTCCTAACCACTTCTGGTTTGGTGCCGCCCAATTCAAGCTGATTTTTGCCCAAATAAATTCTTACCATTTTTAATATGCTTCAGTTTCTCTTTTAACAGTATGCTTAAGGCAGGGGGTGGAGCACCAGAATCCTGATACCTTTGCCTCTGCTGTTCCTCCAGGAGGTCCTCGGGACATGCTTATTTTACAGAAGAAAATATACAACTCTCCCAGAGTTGGGAGGTACATTTCCTGGGCTACAAATGGCAATCTTCAGTAAGTTCAGCCTATTTGTATGACCTTTTGTGTATTGACTAAAGATTCAGGTTGGTAATTTGGAGTTACAGGCCCCATTTTAATTGCATTTTTTTACACTTGATTGCTGTAACTCCAAACACCTTCCATGAAAGGTATATACTTGTGATTTTAATGAAACTTTTTTTCTTATTGCATTTTGGAAATGATTAAGGCTGAGTCTCCTAGAAAATTACTGGGATAATTCAGCTCTCTTATCCCATTTCCTTCCTCTTCTCCACCCTCCACATTAAAGAAGAAAGTCAATGGGAAATTGCCTTTGATCTCCCCAGCACCAACATTCCAAGTTTTAAACTAGAGTGTATTTTAGGCCAAAGTGTGTTTTTCTTGTTTTATCTGGAAAATATGCACATATTTATGCATGTTCCTTTTTAAAGAGTAAAGGGCTTCTCAGGCTTTTAAAACCAAACTCTATAATACCTTTTGATTAAAGTGCTAGCAGAACCACAACTTAGTGGTTTGGGAAGATGCTCTATAAGTGTAATGGTGGAAAAGATTATGCAATTATGTGATGCTGGTGGTAAGGATCAAACAAACCTTCAGCAGAAGGCAAACATCCAAAAGAGAGAAGGTGAATGCTTTTCAGAGGGTTGTTTGTAGTTAGTAACATATTCTAGAAAGCATTTTTTAGTAAACATCTGTAGAACTGATTTTTTTGTGTGTGGGTGCTTGTTGCTCTTTCAAAGCACGGCTGTCTCTATGATTCTGATCACAGGATGAGATGAGGCTGGGCTTTATATTGGTAGAGAGCTCTGATGCTGAGGACCGGGGTCAGGTTTGAAATGTGGCAGAAAGAGGAGTTATTCATAGAGGCTAGGAGGGCTGCAAAGTCCTCAAAGATGAGCACCTTGAAGCGTATCTTTCATACAATAGGCTTTGAGGCATAGTGGAAAATACAGACTTGGTTAGAATCTTAACTTTGCCATTTTTAAGCCTGCAGACTCTGGGCAAGTTACCCTCTCTGTTTCCAAACTTATAAAATGTGGCTAATATCATTTTGCAAGTTTGCTGGAGGACTAACTATATATATAAGGTGACTGCACATTAACAGACCCACTATTGGTACTTAGTTCATTAAAAATGGTTCTTATTGAGCCAGCCCTGATGGCCTAAGGGTTAAAGTTCAGCATGCTCTGCTTCAGTGACCTGGGTTCAGTTCCCAGGTGCAGAACCACACCACTCATCTGTCCGCAGCCATGCTATGACAGTGGCTCACACAGAAGAACTAGAAGGAATTAAAACTAGAATATACAACTATGTACTGGGGCTTTGGGGAGGGAAAAAAAAGAGGAAGATTGGCAACAGATGTTAGCTCAGGGCAAATCTTTCCCAGCAAAACAAAACAAAACAAAAAATGGTTCTTATTAATCAGGTGAGGCCTAATATCAAGAGCAAAGAGTTCTTAAGCCACTTTTGAGATGTTAGTTAACATTTTGGCATCTGTATCAAATCAACTTAATGAAGTTTATAAGTCTTTAACAAAACACAAATAATTCCCTCAACCTCTACTTCTCTAACTCTTGTCCCTAAAGCTATTCAGCAAGAATGCAGAACAATTTCCTAAGTCACTACTATCACCCTCATTCCACTGTCAAATAAAGCTTGTAATTTCTAGCACACAGGGACTTAAGAGTATAATGCAGCACTAACATCTAGAATTAAGAGATTTTATTTTTAACTGAATCTTCCCCTGTCCTCATTCAATCTTTCAGCAGAGAAGTTAAGATTTCGGGGGGGTTCCAATGATTCCCTAAATTATGAGTAGATCACTGTGCCTAAAGTATTTGTACAAACAATATGGTTTATGCTGAACACTTGCTTTCCTTGTGGGAGTTTAGAATTTTGAGCAAACTCCAGGGAGAGGGTACCTATATGGTGATACTATATGGTACTATAAGGAATTGGCTCATGTGATCATGGAGGCTGAGAAATCTAAGATTTGCAGTCAGAAAGCCAATGGTATAGTTCTAGTCTGAGTCCAAGTCTGAGTCCAAAGGCAGAAGACTGGTGTCCCAGCTGGAAGACAGGCAAAGAGAAAGAATTATTTCTTACTCAGCCTTTTATTCTATTCAGGACTTCAGCAGATTGGATGAAGCCCATCCACATTGGGGAAGGCAATCGACTTTACTCAATCTACTGATTCAAATGTTAATATCATCCAGAAACGTGGCACACACACCCAGAAATAATGTTTAACCAAGTATCTGGGCACTCCATGGCCCAGTCAAGTTGATATATAAAATTAACCATCTCAGGGGTGGTCTTGGGTAACCCCCATCCAATCCTACTTTAGCTCTATAGTTCAGCTCTGTACAGACTAGAAAATACTTTCTCCAGCCCTGAGCTCTTTCCAGCACAAGTCTTAACGTTTCATCAATAAAATTGGGTGCACTACACCCTACCTCAAAGGTTATTACGAAGAATAAATGAGGAAGTACGTTCATTTATTCATTTCATTCGATCCAAGTGCCTCCTGTGCCAGGCACTGTGCTAGACAGAGGGGATATGTGCAGGCAGAGGGTAGCATGATGGGGCACAAGGGTGGGCAGGGGCTGGATCATGCAGGGCTTGGGAGACCATGCTAAGAACTTCAGATTTTGTCCTAAATGCAACGGGAGGTCCCTGAAGGGAGGTTCAGCACTGTGCCTGGTACACAGTGAGCACCCAGGACATGTTTGTTACTAAGCATTACCACCAGGATGTCGTATCAGAAATTCGACATATCTAAAGTCAAACCCAATCCTCTCTTCTCTGTAATTCTTCCGAGTTGACTGCTTCTTTCTAAGACACTCAGTTCTTCCTATCACTTAGACAATTCAATTGATCTTTAATTCTTCATTCTCTTTTGTTCCTCTTCTACCAATTTGTTCTTTCAGTTGTCCCTCATATTTGATCCTGAGCTAATTATCTTGCTGAGCCTACTTCTTCCTCTCTAATATGGGGATCATACCTCAGAAGACTAAGCGGATTAAATCAGCTAAATGCATGTGAATTGCTTACCCTGTGTCTAGCATGTAGCAAGAACTCACTAAAGGTTGACTTACTACTTGTGCTACAAATTGCAGATACGTACAGAAGAGGAAGCAGTTCTTGAAAAAATGAGCCCTGTGTACCTCAGATTAATCTTAAAGCTCAACCTCGAATCTCAATTGTTCCAAACTCCATTTGTTAACAGGATAGGGCCTAGGATTCTTAAAAAGCAATATTCCAGTTCCTTGAGGTATTTGCCCTAATGTCCAGCTTTTTCACCTCCTACCTCCCTGACCAAACTAAAGCATTTAGTATTACATAAATATTCCTTTTGGTTTCTGACCTGTCTTTGCCATTGCTCCTCCTCCTGCCTGGAAAGGCCCAGTTCATACCACAAAACTCTCCTGCATATATTTACCTATTTGGCAAGTACTTAGGCAGTGTCTACTAAATGCTGGGACTGCTCTAGGTGCTTGGGATACATCTGTGAATACGACAAAGCTCCTGCCCTCAAAGCGTCTATGCTAGTGGGGAAGACAGATAATGAAACAAACATATATATATGTTGGGTTATTGGTAAGTACAGTGAAAACATACATGCATATCCCTTCTATCAAAGTACAAACTCAAAGGCTGGAGCCAGGTCTTATTCAGAATCTTTGTTTCCTCACATAGCACCTTATATTTGTAGATGCTTGATATTTTTGAATAAATAATATTCTGGAGACTTTTTAATACTGTCAAATATTAAATTGCTACAGAGCAACAGGAGTTGCATTCAAATTCAACAAAATGAAGTCTTCTGTGACTGCTTTTGCATCAGTCTGTTGTTGAAAACTACAAACAATGAAGAGAAGATAACGTCCTATACTTTCAAATGGTAGAAGACATTTTTGTGGCTTACACATACCTATTTCTGTAGTGGTCTGAGTGTTGCATCATTTAACGACGAGGATATGTTCTGAGAAGTGCATTGCCAGACGATTTCATCGTTGTGGGAACATCAGAGTGCTAGATGGCACAGTCTACTGCACACCTAGGCTATATGCCTCTAATCTTATGGGACCACTGTTGTAGATGTGGTCAATCAATGTCGTTATGCAGCACATGACTGTACATGCTCTGAGCTGGAATCTTAAGTCCAAATGGTGACTCTAGTAATCCCTTAGCCTTGGTTACACAAATGCAAAATGGGGCAAATAACAGTACCTACTATTTAGGGTTGTTAATGAGAATTAAATGAGTTGCTGACCTATGTTAAGTACTTAATGATATTACCTATTATGTTATTATTATGGGGTACAAGTATGCTTGATTTCTTTTAAATATCCACGGACACTTCTGTGAGAATATATGTACTTCAGGAAGTGTCTAAAAGAGAAGAGAAGAGTTTGGCACAAGGACCTTTTTAAAAGAAATTATAATTTGTTAACTGAAAAAACGAACATTTGATAAGAGTTTAACAAGCTTTCCTCCAACCAAATTTATTGAACATAACAAAATTCTATATACAAAATGACCTGGACCTGCTGCTTCAAAACATGATCCTTTCTTAACTAGTAGTCATACAGTGTCAAAAAGCAGCTTACTCTAAAATTAACAGAAAAGTGCTCAATGTACATTAAATGAATGGCTTAACTACTGGAACTTTAATGTTCTATAAGATAATTAACACAGATAAGATCAAGTGCCTATGACACGCTGCTGCAGAACTGACAGGAGACGTCAAGAAGCCATTTTGTGCACTGCCACTGTGATGCCATCATGTTTCTGGATCATAATGTTCCTGAAAGGCAAAGTGGAAGATATTCAGTAAAATGTTCTATGTGAGAGTCAGTGCAAGATTAAAGATGCTGTTTGGTTTAGAACACAACTAAAAAAATAATATTTATCATTTTCCTATGTATAAAAGCAATACATGAACATTACAAAACACTTGGGAAATATAGAAAAGTGTAAAATATAAAAATTAAATGAATCCTATAATCCTATCAGAGACAACCACTACTAATACTTTCCTGTTTTTTAATCTGCATGTAATATACATTTTTTCTCTTTTTACAAAACTTATCATACTGTGCCTAGTTTTGTATTCTGCTTTTTTTCCACTTACTATTATTCTGAGGACCCTCACGTAGAATATCTTTGGTATTTCTATTACTACAGAAGTAGTTTCTGTTGTTTGTTTAGTCTTCCTCTGTGCTATTTATTACTTTCTTTTTCTTGATAGACTGATGTCATGACAATCCTTACTCTTCATTAAATGTCATTGTGATGTGAAAGCACAGTAGCTTCAGAGATCAATCTATTTGCTCCTGTGGTCCAAAGGGTGAAGACCCTCCCTCAAAGTACTTTGAATGAGGAATCCCTGATGAACACAGGGCAGGCCCCAGTCAAATTTCCCAGGGATTTTCCTGAATAAAAAGGAAAGGAAGGGATCTGCTGACATCTACTCACCCATTATCTGATTCTAGACACACCACAGGAATATCAGTGGGGTCCGAGGTTAGCTTAGCTGCTTGCTGGGCTAGAACAGATATCACCCCAGCATGCTCATCTGATAGGGTCCCACGGCCTGGAAGAGAGAGATGAGATGAGGCCACCTGATTGTCCAAAAATGATTATAGAGCTATAGTAGTATCTTTCATTGAAGTATTCACAAAAAGAAGGTTCAGTTCATGGTCTCTTAGGTTAGGTACTGACATGAAATGATTTTGCCCTGATACAGCTGGTTACATCAGTAAGAAAGCCAAACAACAGTTCTTAAATCAATAAAGTCATAACAGACACTCAATCTTCAAAGT